CACATTCCCAAACCCTACCCCCCAGCTCCTCAGCCTCGCCTGGTCTCTCACGAGCGTTGAGACTCCTGTGACTGTTTCCTACTTTGGGCTCACGCTGGGTGCCGTGTTCCTGAGTGGTCCCTTTGCAAATGTGGCTACAATCGACCTGCCCAAGGAGACGGGGGTAAAGTCAGGCCCCCTCCTACCCTCCGCCCTCCCTAAGACCCAGAAGCCTGGCACAGACCTCAAGGGGTCTTCTAGTCCAGCCCCTGCAGGCCTGAGTGTCTCATCCAGCCTGGCTAAGCCGGCCTCTCGCTTGCTGTGTTTTCGCAGGAGTACAACATGTACGGCTGGTGGGTCGGCGAGCGGAACAGCGAGGTGGGCATCGTCCCCAAGGAATACCTCACCGCCGCCTACGAACTGGAGGAGAGATGATCCGGGGGCTCCGAGGCATGGCCGCTGCTTTGCAACGCACGCGTGTGTCTCCTGGGGGTGCACATCTGCATGTGCCTGGGTGCACGTCACAAAATTTATTCCGCACACAGACAGAGAGTCGAGGGAGAGTTGGTGCTGGGACAGGGACTTTTGAGCAGCTTGACCTGGGGAAACCGGGGAGGATTTTGCCTTTGGCTCCCTCTTCTGGTGTTTGCCCTGCATTGGAGCAGGCAACCCATCCTGGGGATCTGCGAGAGAGGGGAGGGGAGCAGGGGGGTGAGCAGATGGTGCTTTAGGTAGGAAGGTGAGGCAAAGCGTCAGGGCGGCCGGGTTCTTAACTCCGCTCCCAGCTGTTCCGTGGCCAGGGACAGATGTCGGAGTCGGCTCCATCTGCTGACCGTGTCCCTGGCTTTTGTCGGTGGCTTTGAGGTCCCTGTGCGACACGTGGCCAAGGCGGGTTCCCCGGCAAGTTTTGTTCCCCGAAAACATTGCCTCTCGGTAGCCACGCCAAGACCCCGCAGGGTGCTTTTCCCACCGAGATCCCCAAGCCCCAGCTGCAGGTGGGTAGTTTGACTGATTGGGGAAACTGAGGCACAGGGCTGGCTGCTCGTGTGCCAGGCCAGCCACGGCGCTAGACGTAGAACCCAGGTGCCTGCTGCCCGGTGCTAACCACTGGCCCACGCTGCCACTTGCTGCATCACACGGAGCCACCTCATCCCATTCCAGCAGCCCGGGGCCCTGCTGCGGGAGGGTCTTGCTGCGTGAGATGCCGGGCAGGGCAGGGAGAGGGGCAGGGCAGGTGGCTTTCCCCTCCCCGCTAGTCATTCCTGTGTCTCTTTCCTCCTAGACTCCCTCCTGGTGTCGCTCTCCCGGCTCCCTGACTGTGCTGAGATACCGAACAAGAGCCCCCGCCCCGAGGGTCCTCTCTCTTGCTGCCCCGCGGGGGCCGCCCCCGCCACCTCCATGGGAAGAGACGTCATTCCTGTGTCTCTTTCCTCCTAGACTCCCTCCTGGTGTCGCTCTCCCGGCTCCCTGACTGTGCTGAGATACCGAACAAGAGCCCCCGCCCCGAGGGTCCTCTCTCTTGCTGCCCCGCGGGGGCCGCCTCCGCCACCTCCATGGGAAGAGACTCGTGCCCCCTGCTCCTGGATGGTACGTGGCCTGAGCCACGGCTCCTCCCCCGGCTGCCGAGACGCCAGCCGTGGCGGGCCCAAAATACAAACGATTCCCTTTGCTCTCCCTGGGTCTGGTTCTCTGCTTCCCTGGAGGCTCAGTCCCCGGCTCTGTCTGCAGCCGGAGGGAGTCGGCGAGCGGGTCGTGGGCCAGGCGGACACACAACGCTGGAAGCGGCCGTCCTCCTCCGGCCCTGCTGGACCCCAGCTCAGTAAATGCAGGCCAGCCGTGGCGGGCCCAAAATACAAACGATTCCCTTTGCTCTCCCTGGGTCTGGTTCTCTGCTTCCCTGGAGGCTCAGTCCCCGGCTCTGTCTGCAGCCGGAGGGAGTCGGCGAGCGGGTCGTGGGCCAGGCGGACACACAACGCTGGAAGCGGCCGTCCTCCTCCGGCCCTGCTGGACCCCAGCTCAGTAAATGCAGGCGGCCCACGCCCGGCCTTTCCCTCCGCTCCGCTGCGGGGCTGGAAGGCCGGGCTGGCCGTGCCGTTCCTCCCTCTGGGGGACAACAGAGCTTCCACCGCCAGCCCAGCCTGTCTACCCCGGGGAGTTATTTCGAAAGAACAAGGGCAGCCTCCGCACTCCTGAGCCCGTTATGTCGACATTGTAAGGCCTGCACGTGCAGCGGGACTGAGCTTATGTCGAGAGTTATTTGGGGAGGCTCCGGGGGCGCCCACCCAGCGGCGGGCTGGTATAGGCTTTGGTGAAACTGAAGGAAGCACTCCAGTTGCCTAAGGACTTATGCAGCAGGACTGTTGGTTAGAATCTTGCAAATTAATTTGCTTGGACATGTTCTATTTTTTTAAACCCTACGGCTATGTCTAGGCTGGCATGATTTCCCAGAAATGCTTTTAACGGAAAAGTTTTCCATTAAAAGCATTTTTGGAACGGAGCGTCTAGATTGGCAGGACGCTTTTGCGCAAAAGCACTTTTTCCAGAAAAGCGTCCGTGCCCATCCAGACGCGCTTTTGCGCAAAAAAGCCCCGATCGCCATTTTCGCGATCGGGGCTTATTTGCAGAAAACATCTGAGCTGTCCACACTGGCCCTCTGGCGCAAAAGGGACTTTTGCCTGAACGGGAGCAGCACAGTATTTCCACAAGAAGCACAGATTTCTTACAGTAGGAAGTCAGTGCTTTTGAGGAAATTCAAGCGGCCAGTGTAGACAGCTGGCAAGTTTTTCCAGAAAAGCGGCTGATTTTCCGGAAGAACTGGCCAGTCTAGACACAGCCCGGGGGAAGCGGGTTCACCTCTAACGCGGCTGACCTGTGGGGCGACGCGCCCGGCGTGGATAACCTGGCAGTGCAGCCAGCCAGGGCCTGGCCCGTCCCACCCCCTGGGCGGGGGAGGCAGGAAGAGGCTGTGCCCCCCAAGTGCCACTAGGTGGTGGTAGCTAACTGTTCACCGCCCAGCCCAGCCCACCAGTGGGAGCACGGCCTTAAGCGGGTATTTAAGTGCCCTCTGGTGCCAGGGGCTCGGTTTCCCCAGGAAAGTCTCCGCGGCCCGGAGCGGGCGGTGGGTCAGGCCTGGGGCCAGGCGTCTCCAGCAGAGACAGGCCCACGCTGCCGCTCCGGGGCGCAGACGCGGTGCCCT